ATGGTGGAATCTGAACATTTCCAGGCAAAACAATTGTAGAAAACTGCTATACCAGTCTGCTGCAGCCCATACTTTCTATAACTGCGTGTGAGGATTTTTTGCATTAATAGYRGATATACTTTGGCACCAGTTGTGAACATGAGAGATGTCACAATCGAGTTGCCTTCTGGGAAAGGGAAAAAATACGTCTGTATTTGGTGTGTGGGGATTTCTGTGAAAAAAAAAAATAAAAAAAAAAAAGGGGGGGGGGAATGTTTTTCATAGTGAAAAATTCTCTGACTTGTCATTGGCTTTTTCTCCTCAGACATTTACCCCCTGCCCCAAAGGAATAAATGTCCAACAGCAGCTTCCTCAATGAGTTCCTCCTCTTGGCTTTCACAGATATGTGGAATCTACAACTCTTGCATTTCTCGTTCTTCCTGGGCATCTACCTGGCTGCCCTCCTGGCCAATGGCCTCATCATCACAGCTGTAGCCTGTGACCATCACCTTCACACTCCCATGTACTTCTTCCTCCTCAATCTTTCCATCCTGGACCTTGGCACCATCAGCACCACCGTTCCCAAATCCATGTCCAGTTCCCTGTGGGACACCAGGACCATCTCCTATATGGGTTGTGCTGTCCAAGGCTTTTTCCTCTTTTTCTTATGTTCAGCAGAGTGCCTCCTCCTCACTGTTATGGCCTATGACCGATTTGTGGCCATCTGCAGAGCCCTGCACTATGGGATGCTCATGAGCGGCAGAGCTTGTGCCAAAATGGCAGCAGCTGCCTGGGCCAGTGGTTTTTTCTACGCTGCCCTGCACACTGGGAACACATTTTCATTACCTCTCTGCCAAGGCAATGTTGTGGAGCAGTTCTTCTGTGAAATTCCCCAGATCCTCAAGCTCTCCTGCTCAGACACCTACCTCAGGGAAGCTGGGGTTCYTGTGGTTAGTCTTTGTTTAGTCTTTGGGTGTTTCATTTTCATTGTGCTGTCTTATGTGCAGATCTTCACAGCTGTGCTGAGGATCCCCTCTGGGCAGGGACGGCACARAGCCTTTTCCATGTGCCTCCCTCACCTGGCCGTGGTCTCTTTGTTTGTCAGCACAGGCATGTTTGCCTACCTGAAGCCCCCAACCCTCTCTTCCCCAGCTCTGGATCTGGTGGTGGCTGTTCTCTATGCAGTGGTGCCTCCGGTAGTGAACCCCCTCATCTACAGCATGAGGAATAAAGACCTCAAAGAAGCACTGC